ACCATGCTGGGGTTCTGGGATTCTGTGGCACAGGCAGGTGCCAATGCCATGTTATTCATCTTACCAAGCAGCTCTGGTCCTTCTCGTGCCTTTGTGGGGGCCAGAGCATTGTCTCCACGTCCATTCCCCCTTGTGTGGGCGTGGATGTCACCCGGAGCCCCACACAGACTGCTGGCACTCTCCAGCCAGGGCAGGGGGGTGGCTGTGGCCCCCCTGTGTATAGTCCCCAAAAAAAGGGGCCTTTACCTGGTCTGCAAAGCCAATTGATACACAAAGTTGAGCTATTTGCTTTATTTTGGCTCTGCAGGAATGGGTGCTAGGCAATGAACCACAAATCCAGCCCCTGGCAGCTCAGACAGCAGCAGTTTATACCCAGTGCAAATAACAAAGAAATGATGTGAGTGATGACATGATTTTACATCACACACATCTTTGTGTGCATGCTCCATCAATTTACTTAATTAATTCTATTATCTAATCCATTCTAATAAGGTGGGTCTACATTTAAATTCTCCTCCTAGAGGTGTGGGGTTTAGTATTAAAATCACCATGGGTTGTGTCAGTGACCCCTCAGTGCTTTGATCTTTGTCCAAATCTGTCTCTGGTTCATGTAGAGAAGCCAGAACAAGGCATTAGGGTTACATCCACCCAAATCTGGGGGGCAGAGGTGACTCAGATTTGCTGGTTCCCTCAGTTGGCATTAGGGGTACACAGCATTGATCCCTGGGTGCACAAAAAGGAATTTATTTAACGGGGCTAAACAGCTAACAACATAATAACAATTAGTAATAGGATGGCAAATCAATATGGTTACCAATTAGAGTAACCATAATTAAGCTTAACAACTATTGGTGTGGTAAACAGGAGTTCTGTGACCCAGCTCAGGGGAAGAGAGAGAGGAAGGAGAAAGTTCCAGATCAGGACTTGCTGACTCTGGTGACATCTCGTGGGTCTGGTTCTTTCATGGTCACCGTGGAGGAGGTGGTGGAGGCACCAGCACAGTGTGTTACTGTCCTTTTACCCCCTCCTGGGGTGGGGATGTCCCCTAATCCACGTGGGAATAGCAGAGGGTGGTAACTGATCTACGGGAAAGGTGCAAGAGGGTGGTGAGCACCTTTCCCCTGTGGGTGAGAGGAGGAAGGGTGGCATTAACCCTTTCCCCCCATTGAGCTGGGAGTGGCAGAGACCCTGTATCAGACTCCTGCTGGATGATTTTTCTGCTAAGGTGCACAGGCCACCCCCAGGCTGGTGTGAGGAGACAGGGAGGAACCTCCTTATCTCCAAGGGGTAGGCATGGGCCCGTGCAGGGAGACAGGGCTGCCCATCCTCCCATGCATCCCTCCCCTCCAGGAGCAGGCAGGTGTCACAATGCTGCTTTCACCACACAATGTTTGAGGCAACCCTGTAGGAATCCTGCTCCCACAATTAGCTACCAAGGCTGACAGAGTTTCACCATCTGTAAATACTGCTCTTAATCACTATGTCTTGTTTCTGCTTATTTTAACCTTCAAGGTCACTCCATCCTTTAGATTCAGGGACCTTCCATTCTTGCTACCCTGCTTTCAGACCAGTTCTTCATATCCTTATTCAGCCCAACAGTTCTTAACTTCATCCTTCTGGCATCCTGTGCTGGGGTCACCCCCCCAGCGCTGCCAAAACACCCGCAGGCCTGGCACAGGGGTTTTTGGGGTAGATAAAGGTGAGCTCCACCTTGACCTGTGCTTCTTGGAGGATGAGGGTGCTGATGTGGGCTGTGATGCTGCGTGAGCAAAGAGCAAACACCCAGTGAAAACCTTAAATTGATTTAAAAGTCCTTTGTCTTTTTGTTTTAGGGAAGATGTCGGAGGGTTTCTCTGTAAGTATGGAGTTGTTTAAAATAGCAGGAGGGCTGTGACTGACACGGGACCTTCAGCAGGGGTGGGAGTGGGGCTTCACTAACCTGCACAACTCCCCAAACCCACTCTGGCTACTTTGGCATTTACTGGTTTCCTGGGAACCTCACCCCAGGCACTCACCCCCCCCCATCCCACTGCTGGGGAGCAGTTGAGCTCTTGCTCTCGTCACACAGTGTAGGCTACAAAAGGGTGGGGGGGGCTGGACGACTGAACCTGACCCCAGGACTGATGTCACTCACCTAACCCTCCTTCTCCTCTCCCTTCTGTGCCCAGTTATCCGACGCCTTGCCCACCAGCAACAACCCCACCCCCTCTGCCCCCCAGCCCCAAGGCTGGCCCTCCTGGGGGAACCAGCCACCAGCTCCTGGGGGGTTCCCCATGTACCCTGGCCCTCCGGGGACCTATCCTGGAGCACCAGGACCTTTTCCTGGAGCCCCAGGGCCGTATCCAGGAGGACCAGCAGGACACGGGCTGTATCCAGGAGCACCTGGAACATTCCCTGGAGCACCAGCAGGACCAGGGCCATATCCTGCCCCAGGGCAGCCACCCAGTGGCCCTGGATTTGGGCACCCTCTTCCACAGGGGGGACCGTCTCCTCCCATGGTAAGGGCTCCATCATATTACGTGGGTTTCTGTGTCTTCGCTCTCTGGTTTTGCAAGGACATGGGAGGGACCTGGGGATGGCTGTCCCCAGGAAGGGTGGGATGGGATGTCACTGTGTCTTGGGGCTGCCCTGGCGGGTTGGTCACACCAAGAGCCAGCTCGTGCCTCAGCATTTGGCTTTTCATGTGCTTCATTGCTGACACCAAATGCCTGTTGTCTCCCAGAAAGTACCCTTCGAGCTGTTCCTGCAGGCAGGACTCGTGCCTCAGCTGCTCATAACCATCACAGGGACCATCAACCCCAACCCAAACAGGTACTGGGGGGGCCCAGCACCAAGGGTGGGGGGGGTTCTGTGGGGTGTTGCTGGACAGAGCAGGGGGCCTGGTGTCAAACCAAACATTACACAGAATGACTGTGTAAATGTCCTCTCGTTGCCTAACGGGCTCTAGGAGTTTTTTCTGTCCACTTGCTGCTACTTTAGCAGGCTCTGTTACAGAGCCCAGGACTTTCGTAGAAACCGTGGTGATGCTGGAACTGTCCTTGCAGGTTTTCAGTGGATTTCAAGAGAGGGAATGACATTGCCTTCCACTTCAATCCCCGCTTCAAGGAAGACAACAGGAAAGTCATCGTCTGCAACTCCATGTTCCAGGATAACTGGGGAAAGGAGGAGAGGACAGCTCCCAGGTTTCCATTTGAAGCTGGAAAACCCTTCAAGGTAACAAAAAAAACCCCCAAAACTCACTCTTAGTGTGCCAACAGCACCTGCTGGGAGGGGTTGGTCAGGGATGTGTCATAAGACTCTAAGGACCTTGATGCTTTTGCACAGGAATCAGCTCCCAGAGATGCTTCTGGGGCAGTTGCCCGTTGTGCTTCCCTGGCTGACCAGCACAGTGGGTCTACAGCACCTCCCCTGCACTTCCCACCCCTCCTGCAGGTTCAGATGTCCCGGGTATAACTCCACCTCCCTCCTGCTATTCTCATGTGGCACTAAATCCTCATTTACACCATCCTTCTGCAGCAGTTGTTGGGCAGGTTTCTATAAAGCATGTTCCCTGTTATCAGTCAAGCTGTATTCATGAGCTTTTTCTCCCAAGTTTGGTGAGAAGGCAGCTCTCACTGTGAACCATGGAATCAGAGAATGTCTGGGCTGGAGGGGACCTCCAAAGGTCATCTAGTCCAACCCCCTGCCATAAGCAGGGACATCTCCAACTAGATCAAGCTACTCAAAGCTCCATCCAGCCTGATCTTGAATGTCTCCATGGAGTACTGCTGCTTAAAAACACCATCACAGTCACGAGGAGACAGGAACTAGGGACTAAAACACACAGGAGGAAGAGCACAGCAGAGCTCTGGGGAAGGCAAAGGTCGCTTGGTGTTCTTGCAGCTGAGTTGCTGCACCAGCCTGTCCACATGCCACCGGGCAGCACTCAGCTGGCAGCAACCTACAGCCAGCTCCAGCCTGCTCAAAGTTGTGGCTTAAAACTCCTTCCTAGAGCAAGTCTGATGGTTATCTTTTGGCTGATTTGGGTTCTTTTCCAGCTCCAGATCCTTTGTGAGGTGGATCACTTCAAGGTGGCGGTGAACGACGCTCACTTGCTGCAGTACAGCTTCCGTGAGAAGAAGCTGAAGGAGGTCACCAAGCTCTGCATTGCTGGGGACATCACCCTCACCAGCGTCATGCCAACCATGATATGACAGCAGTGGTGCAGTGCTCAGGCAAACTTTGTGCTCTTAACGTGGCTGTCAGAGAAATGCCTCCTTATGTGAATACTTGGAGGTAATAAAACGTGCTTTCATGAGTAACATTTGTTTTCAGTATCTCAAAAGGCACAAGATCCTCCAGCAAGCTGAGTTCAAAGGTGGAGATGTCTGGATTCTTGCTGCAGAGTCAGAGGATCTCTCTGACAACGGGTGACAAGCAGGCACTGTTTGATTTGTGCAGGGAAAGGAAGTGGTGACACACTGCTGCTGGCCCTGGGAGCCACCATCCACCCCATCTCCTCCAAGCACCAGAGAGCAGTCACTGACCTGAGAGGTTTAGTCCTGGTGGCTCTGCTAGAGACAGCACTTGTTCCTTTTTCACTGGAGACATCAAAGAGCACAGCCAAGGACTGAAGTTCCCTGGCCAGGGCAGGAGGAGCCTCGTCAGGCTGTGAATGGGCTGTAAGTCACAGCAGTGTCACCTCTAGGAAACACGGGAAAAATGGGGAAAACTCATAAGCCTCTGGTCCTGACTAGAATGAGGTATTTAAGGGGGTTCAGTGCTGGAGGAAGCAAAATCTCTCCCCCTAGACAGTGGCTAGAAAAGTTACTGCTCTTTTTTCAAAAGCCCATTCAAAAGCCCAAATCAACATGTGCTGAGCACACTTCCCACCCAAGGGAGAGCTGATTTAGACAACTGTTAAATACTCCCTGGAACAGGTCACCAGCCTCATGCTTCTCTCCCCTCATCTCTTCTGCATGAGTCAGGACTAGTTTCAAGGGTGGGGAAGTTTATTGGCACATTCACCTCATGAGTCAGGCTGGTAAAAAAAAAACCAGAAAGTATGTTCCCTTGAGCTGTGAGTCATTCCCCTGGTCTTGTCTGCAAAACAAGAGCAGCACAATGGCCACTGCTGAAGTTTCCAAGGATCTCTTTGACGTGGCTCATTCTCTTTTATAACAGCTGCTTCGTTTGTACTTGGAGACGCCAAGTCACAAGCAGTGTTGGAACTTCCAGCAGATGCAGGAGCCTAGACCAACACCCTGCTAACATCTGCTTTAATGTAGATGTCAGAACTCCCTCATCCCTGCTATTCATTGCACAATGCTGAGAACTGAACTCATTAAGAGAGGTTATATGTTTGCAGCTCCCCATATAACCAGAGTTTAATGATGAGCAAAGTTGATTCGAGCACCATGACACCAAGTCACATTAGTTTCCTCCTTTTATTTCAGTGTCATCAGTACACAGATCCCAGGTTAAAACTGAAGGTTTTAGCTCCCCCAGCTGTACTGGCAACTTTTCTCTGCTGAGGGAGCTGAATTTCCTTTGCTTGGTTTAAAGGAAAGGCTGGAAGAATGCATCACATATGGTCACCATTAGAAGCAGCAGCTCAGTCAGGTATTTGTTAAAAACACAACTGGAGGCACCAGTGAAATATGAAGTTTATATAACTGCATAAATATATTACAGATAAGGAATTAGATGTGAGAAGAGGCTGAAGTTAACCTGTCAGCTGTTCAGGTAATGAGGTTAAGAGATTTCACATGAGAAAACAAAGAGAGAATAGTTTGGTTTGAAGCTACTTAAGATACTCAATAGAAAACTGTGTTCCTAAAGGAAATAATGCCTATTTTAATACACTGTCAGGAAAAGATATTATCTGACTTGGAAATCCTTGTTCTGAGATAGTTTATACTGTTACAAAGTGGTTGTTAAACACCAGGGAAGACTTCCAGGAGTCAAACCATCAGCAGCTGCTGCTGAGGCAGTTGTCAATGCACAGAATCCTGGAGCCTGAGGGTGCACCAGTACCAGCACCAGTAGAAACTGTGAAATGGTGCTATGGGGAGGGCAACGGGCTGAGTCTTACACCCAGAAAGTGCCCTTGCATCAGAAACAGGGCACAGGTAGAGCTAGACTGGTAAAGGAAGTAAAGGTCAGGACAGGGAAACTTAAAAGATGAGTCATTTTACAACTTGAAGTAGAGAGAAAATACATGAGATTAGACAAAAATAGTAAGTATTTCAGGTTGTATTTGAATATGCAAACATTGGACAGAGCAGGTTTAACCAGCAAACACCCTGCTAGTGATACCCAGCAGTACTGGCAGTGCCTAACAACTGCACCATAAAAACTACAAAACAGTTCAGTAAGTTCCACTACAAAATACTACAGGCAGTCCACATGCTCAGAACACAGCTCAGGGGTGGCAGAGTACATTCCAGACATCTTCTGTGGGCTTTTGCTGAAGGTAATTTACACATTTTTGAACTTGAGGTCCCTTCTTATTTTTCCCCCGTGGCAGACAGGGGAGAAAATACAATGAGGTCGGTGAATGCTTCAGCTGCTGCCAGCTCCTGGGCTTTGCTCTTCACTGGAGTGAAGGGGAACTCAGCATCCAGCATGGGCTGTGGGAGACAGCAGAGTGAGAAGTCAGTGTTTGAGGAACAGTTACCTCCCTTGCAAAGCACTGCTGCAGTGACACACAAAGTAAGCTAATGACAAATTCACCTTTCTCTAATGATATCTGCATAATCACCCGAGCAACAGTAATTACTGGCAGGCAGGTTAGGTCTGTGAGGTGTCCACCTAGTTGAGTGGCCACCTCAACATGATGGGACACAAACCAGCAGAAGATGCTTGAGAAGAGGACAGGAGGAGCACGGAATTCTCTTGCCTCTCACTCAGCTACAGACACATCACAGATTTAGAATAAGAGAAGTTCAGATCCCTCAGGCAGAGCTGCAGCCTGCAGTGATTCAGATGTCCTAAGGGGAACACCCTCCTACAAAGAAAGGCTAAGAGAGTTGGGCTTGTTCAGCCTGGAGAGAGAAGGCTCCAGGCAGACCTTCTTGTGGCCTTGCAAAACTTCAGTAGGCCCTATCAGAAAGCTGGGAAGACTTTTTATCAGAGGCTGTTGGGACAGGACAAGGGCTGATGAGTTTAAAGAGGGAGATACAGACTAGATAGAAAGAAGAAATTATTTGATGCTGAGAGTGGAGAAACTCTGGCCCAGCAAGTTTCTGTGCCAGCTGATTCAGTTTTGGGTCCCTCACTCCAAGGATCTTGAGGGGCTGGAGTGTGGCCAGAGAAGGGCAACAAAGCTGGGGAAGAGTCTAGAGCCCAAGCAAGTGTGGTGAGGAGCAGCTGAGGGAGCTGGGGGTGCTGAGCCTGGAGCAAAGGAGGCTCAGGGGAGACCTTCTGGCTCTGCACAGCTCCTGAGAGGAGCCTGGAGCCAGGTGGGGATTGGGCTCTGCTCCCAAGGGACAAGAGATAGGACAAGAGGAAATGGCCTCAAGTTGCCCCAGGGGAGGCTGAGTTTGGATATTTGGAAAAACATCTTCCCTGAAAGGGTTGTTAGGGCCTGTCCCAGGCCGCCCAGGGCAGTGGTGGAGTCCCCATCCCTGGAGAGATTTAAAAGACATGGAGATGTGGTGCTGAGGGACATGGGTCAGTGGGGACTTGGCAGTGCTGGGTTAATAGTTGGACTTGGTGATCTTAATGGTCTCTTCCAACCAAAAATATTCTATGATCTATGTGAAGATGTCCCTGCTCACTGCAAGGGGGTTGGACTAGCTGAGCTTTAAAGGTCCTTTCCAACCCAAATCACTCTGTGACCCCGACTCTATACTAATATGTGATGGCTTATACATGATACTGTTTCCAAACCACGTGCTGCTCTAAGTACCATGACAGTCCTAACAGAAATCTTGCAAGTTTCTTTCCAAATATGAAATGAGAAGTGAATGTGTGGTCCATTTCAAGCAGTGATCCATATTTCAAAGAGGACTTTTCACATAAGACCAAGGAAACTCTATAGGAAAATTTTTTTTAACAATTTGGAATTCTTTGCACACCTGGCTTCCCCTGTTGAATCTTACTTCCAGTTCCAAAAGTTAAAGCTCTGAAAAGAGGGATGAGAGAGAACTGAAAGATGCCCAGAAGAAATTAAGAGGAAAAACACCAGCCCATTCATGATGTTAATAAATATTTACCAGGAAACTCACAAGAAATACAATTTAAATGATCAATCTGATATGAATCAGACATTCTTCTGTTACAAAAGTCTCAGTTCATCCTATACTCATCATGTGCAATAAGAAATAAGTGAGCCCAAGCAAGGAGACAGGATTTGTGGCTGTATTTGAGTAAGTTGTGTGAACTGGCTTGATAACCATCTTAGAGAGTTTAATTTCCCTCGTGCAGGAACTGATTCTGCAGGGCAGGTTCACAGCACTGTAACATGCAGATTGGTTTAGTCAAATAAACTTCAAGGTCAACTTACCATACCAAAAGGATTTCTGCCAATGGATATCAAATCACTACATGAAACATCTGAAAAACATGAAAATTTTTTTAAAAGTTAGCCTGATGCTGCCAAAACTGAAAAGAGAAATTGTTTTCTGCATTTACTGGGAAAACAATTTAACATAAATCATAGTGGCTAAAGGAGGTTTTGCTCCCAGCATACATAGATTAGAGGACAAGGATTTCAAAGAGTAACTTGGACTGTTCCAAACATTAAAACTAACACCAGGCCCCAGCAACACCACACAAACTGTGCTAAGCAGCTTCCAGATATGCACCTGTCTGATGGATTTTTTGTCCTCCAGATTGAACAAAGTTAGTCTCTGTGCAGGTCTCCTTCTCTGGGCTGTGCATGACAACATCTTGTCCTTGTTCTGCAGCAGATAGTTCCATCTCTTCTGTGCCATCCATTACTTGTAATTCACTGCTGGAGTTTTCCAGCGCCTGAAAAATAGGAATTGAACACTTCCAGGGATGCAGCATCCACAGCTTCCCTGGGCAACCTGTTCCAGTGTCTCACCACCCTCAGAGTGAAGAACTTCTTCCAAATTTCTAATCTAAAACTACCTTCCTCCAGTTTGAAGAAATTACCCCTCGTCCTATCACTACAAGCCCTTGTCAGAAGTCCCTCCACAGAGGGAGGCCCCCTCCAGATACTGGAAGGCCAGTCAGCTTTTGATGCAGAGAGCACAAAGCCGAAAAGGCAGCCAGCACATGCAAGGGGTCTGAGTGCACAGAAACCAGTGTGTCTTTCTCATGTCAAACCAGGTCCACATATCTGTTCTACAGGTCTTAGGGACAATGCAAGGGAGACAGGCTTTTAACTCTAGCCACTGTACAGGGCACAGGCAGGACAAGGCTCACAGCTCAGCACTGTGATCCCTTTCACACAAACTATTTCCCAAACACCCTGGTGATCTTGATAATCTCTTCAGAGTACAAGAGAAGGTCTTCCACAGGAAAGAAGGTTTTGAACTTGAAGTGCCAAAAATATTCTGAGGATGTTCTCTAATGAGACTTTACCTCAAGACAAACCTATCAGCAGTACTGAAAGTTAAAGATTAGCAGAGTTTCATTCAGAAAGGAATATTAGCAAGTAATTTCTCATTTGACAGGGAAAGGATGAAGTTAAAGGCATGTAAGAACAAATCAGTAACTAAGATTTAAAAAAAAATATATTATATGCAGGGGGAACAACTACTGTAGTCACATGCAGATCCAAGCAGTAACAAATACTATTAAAATACTCCATTTCCAATGAAAGGTACTAAAGGATGAGGACCTGCAAAGCCCTGGCTTTCACTACGTAGCACAGTATCATCTAAACTAAGGAGACCCACTTCCTCTGTTTTTTTTTATGGCTACTCCAATGTAGGCATGTCACCAAGTCCTCAGACATTTCAGAGCATGGATTTTCAAACTCTGATATTTACATTAATAAAATAACACTATTCTTGCCATACCTTTAAGCAATGTGACAGCCCAATGCTCTGCTGTGGCAGAATACTGTTCCCTTCAGCCATGGTCACAGAATCATAGAAACATTTTGGTTAAAAGAGGTCTTTAAGATCATCAAGTCCAACCATTAACCCAGCACTGCCAGGTCCCCACTAAACCACATCCCTCAGCTCCACACCTACATGGCTTTTAAATCCACCATCACTTCCCTTGCACAGCCTGTACCAGGGCTTGACCACCCTAGCAGGGAAGAAATCTTTCTAATGTCCAGCAGAAGATATGTTGAGGATTTTATCAGAAATCCAAGTGTCTGGGGCCAATAAAAAGATTTTTTTTCCTATTAACAATATTTAAAGCACATATGTGAACTGTGCATGACTTACCTTGGCTCCCTCTGCAGTGCCAGCAACAGGACTGTGCTCTTCTGCAACTACAGGAATACTGAAAGAGAAACCAAAATGTTTCCAATCTTCTCAATCATCTTCATCAACTACCTTAAATCATCTTTTGACTTGCCCAACTGATCTTACAATTTGTTCTGCAACTACTCTTGTTTGGCACCGGTCAACTAGATCAAATTTTCTGGGCAAAACCCAAGCTTCTATCCCAGCAGTGAAACTACATTTGGGCAAAGCTCTTAATATTTGCTTGAGGGAAGGAAAAGACACAAGCACTTCACATTCTTTATCATTGCCAAATTGAAAGGCAACATCTATTGGGTATTGATGTTAGTTCTTTCAGTTAAAAGCACAAAATGATTTGTCCAAAGTTAATTAAAAGCTGTCTTAGCATGTCTACCTTTGTTCAAGAAAATGATCAGGGAGTTTTTCCAGTGGGGGTGTTTTTCCAGTGGGGGATTGAGGCATTTTCAAATTTTGTGCTGGGTGGAAGCCTTTGAGCACCGGTGTGGTTTGGTTTGCAGTTGTATCCTCAGGGTTGTGAAGCACAGAAGGAATGCTCCGAAGCAAAGCTCTGCTGGATGATCTTGGAGTTGCCAGTTTTCCAGAAGTCTGCTGGAAAGATCTGCGAGGTGTCTTTGAAAGCAGGCCTGAAAAAAGCATTTAATGTTTCATTACAACAGCAGCTTCCAGAAGAGGAATGAACTGTTTGAATTTGAGCTAGGAACACAATTGTTTTCTGCTTACTGAACTGCCTTGTACAAATATTATACTGAAATCTTATTATTCCTACAAGAAGAAATTGAAAAACGATGAGAAGAGTAGGTCAATAAATCACAAAACTACCAGAACTTCAGCTAAGCTACTTAGTAATAACTACCCCTTCACAAAGAACCTGAAATAGGGAGACTTGCTCTTCTGATTATAAAGTCCACCTGGTAAAAGCTGTCATTAATTTCCATCTTTCACACTGGATGACTTTAATAGAATTCAAAATACACAGATTCAGAATTGATTCTTGTAACAGATTCTCTGCTAGAGCTTGCTCAAACCCAGCGTTGCTCAAAGCTTTTCAGGCCTCCTCTACTAAGAAGAGGCATACAAAAAAATCACTAGTCTGGTGATGAAGAAAGAGATTTTAAAAAAAAAGAAAATTAAATGGGAAATTCAAAGTCAGCTTATGAAATAGAAATGGGAGAGAAGCAGAATGGCTCCCAAAGAGTCAAGAATTACTGGAGATACAGCTTCATATAGATTGCAGGAAGATAAGATAGTGAAAATGAAGTTATACTTTAAGCATCTGCTAAAATATCCCAACCTATTAAACAGCTTTTACAGCAGACTGGAATTCTGCTACAATCTTGTTGAACATGAATACAGATTATGAGTGTACTTTGCAGCTTTGAAGACAGCACTGCAAGAGATTTAGTTTAAAAAATCCAATTCCTGTCTTCCAAATGGAGGATGTTAGCCTGCATTGACTTGGATGAACAGGTTCAGCCACACCTGAGAACACTCAGGTTAAAACTTCTTGTTCAGATTAAAACTCCATTGTTTAACACACAGTGAAAATACACAAGCCAGCTGCTCTTACCTCTCTAAGCAGAGATTTCATGCTGCCATAATCACTCAAATCAATACATTCATGTTGAACAGTTTACTTTGGATCCCTGACATAATCAACCACTGAAACACTGTGTCCAGTACTGGAGCTGCGTCCAGCATACACACCATAATTCCTCTCCCCAGTGAGACTGGTTAAACTCCCAGCAGTACTTTCAGCTCACAGAAATCATGATTATGCTTCACCCACCTGGAAAGTTTTTCACAGGGCTTTCAATTCGGAAAAATCCCGCTTCAAAAACCACTTTTTCTACTTCTGGTGGTTTCTCCTGCTGTGGAGCATCAACAGCTCTGTCGTGCTTCATCTTATCCCTCATGGCTGCTTTCACAGCTGCCAGCCGGACCCGGGCAGCTGCTCGCCCAGCTGCCTCCAGCTTTGGTTTAGACACTCCACCTGCAGCAGTCTTCTTCTGAAACAGCAGAGAAAGTCCAGGTCACATCTGGAGGCTATGGACAGAAGCCACTGGCCATGAACACAGACCACAAGAGGTAAGGGACATGCTGAAGACAAGGCCCCTGTTCATCTCCAGGATCTCTTGCGCTGCCATTCAGTTATTAAGCTTAGTTTGTGGTGACAATATTAAGGATATATTGGGTCTGCAGTTCATAAATATTCAGTACAACTGTTTTCTAACTCTGGTGAATGTTTTTTGAAACCAGTGAGGTCCAGAGACTCCTAGTGGCAGAGAGACAAAGAGACCACAGGACAGGCACCAATCAGTCAGTGAAGTCTCTTCTGGCATCAATTTTTCAAAGGAAGTTTTGTGTCTTGTGCCATCTGTAGGGTTCTGACATCTACAGGCAGCTCACACAAATTATATTCCCTCCAGTTTCCTATGCCTGGAGTTTCTTGTCAACCCTAATATCATTTCATGATTATCTGAGCAGTCTCAAGGAACTCAGTGGAGATTAGGCAATATGGGATATGTCTTGCTGTGCAGTCATTAGATGCAATCATGTATTCAAAGCCAAAGAGCAGATAAAATACCTTACATTAAAGCTTATTTTGCAATAAGCAATAACTTATTTTTTAGCTAGTGTCAGATCCATTCATCCTTAGAGAACTAGTAGTTTAATGCTTCCCATGATGCTGTCTTAATGGGACACCATTATAATTTAGGACTCGTGGCTCAAAGCTGGCAGTCACTGCCAAATTCCTGCATGGCTTCCTTTCCAGTGATGTCAGTGTCAACACCAGTGGCCCAGATGAAGTGTTCTACATATGAGGGGTAAATTTCTATTCTAAATTTAATAGATTCGTCCTACTAGCAAAGAGCCCAATGACTCCAAAAGTCACTTTTAATTCTTAGTTCTACCCTCTCCAGCCAAAAGAGGTAACTAATATGACAAACACCAAATAATACAAGTGTGCTTGGGAGATGTAAAGGAGAAGGGTGGCTGTTGAGAGGAGTTTCACTGAATTTTTAAACATTAACACCTAAAGAAGCCATGCTGTAGAAGGAACTTCCATGTAAGAAGAGTATTCATTACTGCAGTAGCAGCATATTAGTGTTTTGAGATATCACACTGTTCCATCCTGATGCCTTAGGAGACATGCTTTAGGGACTAGTCATACCTGGACAACTGCTTTGCTTGGGACATCAAGTGGTTGCCACTCATTGTCTTGAAGCTTCTCCAGATTATCAAACTTTTTATTCACGTCTTTGATCTATTGGAAAGCCCCCAAAAAGTCCAGGTTTAATAGTCAAAACTTAACTGATTGACAATATCTCATTTGTTTCATAAGAAATTTAAGCACAGTTATGCATTAAAATACTTTTTCTTTAAATACAGAAGTAATTTAAACCACCAACCAACATAAATATACAGGTGCTCATACAGCTGACACAAAGGTTACACTAACACACGCAACCTCCAGGTTAGGTGCCAAGGCTGCTCTCATTCCTGCAGTTTAAAGGCTAGGAGGGGAGGTATAGAATTGCTAACTAAGATCTAAATACTTAAAATGACAGAGCTGACATCTGACCGCTGGTACTGAACTTGTGACTTAAGTGCCTGTTTAAGGAGAGCAAAAGAAGACATTGCATAAGTCTTTATCCAAACAAGCACCAGCCTTCCCCTAGGTAGGAGACATGCTGTGCAAGCTTGGTTGCTCTCCCAGACTGCTGGCCTGAACAGCTTCCTGATGCAACCTGTTTGTTCATGACCAACTAGCTCTGCAAGCGTTACCTCGTCCCTGACTGATACCCAATGCAAGGGCCCTCTTCTCCCTGTCTCTGCCATGAAGACACTTGCCTCGTTTGTTAACAAAGCCATACAAGGATTATTTATGGACAGCAGGCCAGCTGCTGACCTGACAAGTCCTTCACATCCTCACAGGACACAAACCAAACCACAATGCCAAAAGGGACAGAGTCAGCAATTCTGTTACTCCAAGCTTACCTAATGGAAAAGGTGGGGAGGCCCTGGAGAAACCTGAGCTGCTCCCAGATACATAGTAAGCACAGGTAAACCCTGTTTTTTCAGGCTACTGGTTTTAGCAAAGTTCCCTCACAGCTCTGAAGAAGCAGGTCAAACCCTTATGCTTTCTGGAGGGAATTCAAGACCTATGACTAAAACCTCAACAATAAACCCACCTTTGCATTTAATTTAACTAGTTACAAGTTCCTTTGCTGAATGCTGATTCATAAACACTGTCAAAAGCCCTTTTGGCAATTTAGAACATTACATTTCATTCTGAAACCAATGGAAGCATCAACAGAGAAAGAGAGGCAAAGGTTTTCTACCCTAAGCTCACCCCTAAATGCAGTTGTAGTTTCTGGATTGTTCTCATAGTGAGAGTCACATTGTGACTGCAACCTCACTCCAAACCCCAATAAGACTTGGCTACACACTTTGGTTCCAGAGCAAAACAAGACATGCAGGCCACAGGAAGACACAAGAGATGAACTGGTCCATGAATTATAAATCATAGCTTACCAACTGGTATGATTCACTATCAGAAAGTGTTACACAGAGACCTGCAATTTTTTACTTAAAAAAACAAAGAATCTGAATATTCAAAAACAAACAAAAAAGTTTCAAATTGTTGTTCATAAATAATCCCAACAATTTTAATAGGTTAACAGGCAGGTACATACCTGAAAATAAACCATATCCCAGAATCCATCTAGGTCTGTACAGGTTGTTTCTTTTTCACCTTGTTTAAACTCACAATTATCCACCAGTCCTTCAAACTGTTTAAACCTTTCTGCTATGAGCAGTCTTGTCTGACCCACCGTGGTGCGAATGAGATCTTTGGCTGGCAGCAACAAGAAAACAACAATGTGCACCTTGAAATAATCCAGCATTCCACAAACTGATTTAAAGCAGCATTTGAAGAGTCTGGAATCAGTTCATTGTTTGAACTACGTTTGTCTAGTGCAGACCTGCAACACAATTCAGATGGAACATACCTCTCCACTGAACTGCTCTGAACCTCTTTCAAAATAAATGTTACTACTCTAAGTCTTTTTAAAGATAAGCATTGATGAATCATCTTCATTTTCCCAGGTAAAGTCACTTATTCTACATCAAACTAATTTAAGTTTTTTAAAAGTAGCTTGGTTAAAGGCTCATACATTGAAAAACAGTTAAAACTGACAACAGAAAAGCTCTTTCTGTGTGCATTGTGAATGTTGTTCACTTTAGTGTCAGTGGCACACCTAAGCTTGCCCTCAGGAGATGCCACATGCCTTTTTGTCTTGAGGCAGATACAACTCTAAACTACCTAATACAACTTTTACTAAGCACTGCAGACAGTGCTGTTTTGCAAATATATTCAGATATATATATGTACTTCCCTCTGTCCCCTCTCAGCTACCACGACACCACTTTCTAGTGTCTATAAGAGTTTAGTCTTACCATCCTCTGGCACGTCCAGCTCCAATTTTCCATCCCACTGGAGGCACTGAGACATCAGCCTCTCCGTCTCAGACCGAAGAATGCTCCTAAAGATAAAGGAATAGGGAAAAACAAGGTTCTTGAGAACTTTCTGACTGCTGTCACTACTTGTGACTGTTAATGGTTACTATCCTTTTGCATTCAGAGAAGCTACACTGTCTTTGAGCAGCAGCCAGCAGATTGGTTTAGTTCACTGACTGGCCAACAGGCAATTTATTTCCAACTGCCTCCAAACATTTGATCTTTAGGACAAGGTGTTATGCTCCAGAAATTTACATCCTTTACTTCCACTAACAATAGCAAAGGGAAGATAGGAACATGTGCCCACTCAGGTCACTGCTGATAGACACCAACCACCATAAGCTAATCTTCACAAGATGTCTTGAAACCCACATGAAGGGCTTGAAGTGCTGAGGTTTAAACCCCCAGCCTTGAGGGAGGGTTGGCACATGGATGATGGCCACAACCAGGCAGGAAAGCCCCTCCTGATTGGTTTTCACCCAGGCTCTGGCCAGCCTTGGGTGGGAACTGATAAGGAGATCACCACCAGGTGCCCCCACCTTCCACATTCACTTGGAGGTGGGGCAAGAAGCCACCTCTGTAAGAGCTGACTCTGGTTACAGTAGAGTTGGGAGGTGTGCTTGCATAGTGGATGTGCTGTGTGGGGACTGTGGCTCTTGGGAGGGCTCCCTGACTCTTCATGGCAAGTGGAGTTCCCAGGATGGCAGGGCCAGAACATGAAGCTGTCTCTGAGTCCCTGCTCTATCCCTGGGCTCCTGGCCTGGCTGCTCCCATCTCCCATGGCTTGGCTCCTCACCTGGCTGCTCCCATCTCCATGTCCCCTGTGGTGGGTGAGTGCATGGACTTGTTTCTCCTCTGGCTGTCTGGCACTTTGGGTCTCTGGTGTGTGATGTGGGAGCAGAGGGAGGAGTTCGGCTGCTTGTCTACCCCTTAATGATAATATTGTTCTATGTTGGGCAAGTGGTCAGCAGAAGGCCTCAGAACAGGCAACAGGGAAATGAAACAAATGAACACAGACCTGAAATAGGGCACATCATGCTCTTGCTCTCTGACATCTTCTGGCTCTATTTCAAGCACTGTTGTACCTGTAGAGACAGGAATTGTTTCACTTGATCTCTGAATGGAAGCTTTTTCATCTGATTCACTTCCTGAAAAATATGAAAGGCGTTTGTTCAGAATCTGGTGAAAATTGAAAACATTAGAATAAAGTAAATGTAAAATTTCTACCTTTTTGTCCTTGCAAACTTGTAGTGGTTTGCTGTTCTTGAATGTCTTTACCAGCAGGTGAAACCTGACTTTTTGTATTGGGTTCTTGTGCCTTGGCTTCACTGGATTTTTCAGCTACATTACTGGAAAGAAACAAAAAGTACAGTTAAGAGTTAAGATATTTGATGTCAGGTTCTCAAAGTATGGCCAAATACACAGGAATGCACAATTTAAAAGCCAATCCTACACAGAACTCAAGCAATTCCTAGTAAAATTAATAAACCTGTGCAGAGATATATATGGCAAGTCCTCAAAATATGGAGCTGCTCTACTTCTAAAGCACAGAGTGATGGATTATATTGCTCTCTTCCCTGTTGTATTAGCTTAAGCAATGACAGCGATCATCATGATGATTTAGACATACATTAGAAAGATGTCTTCTGTATCATCACAGAGAGGTTCACTTGCAATTTAGGCCATTAGAAGAAAGAATCTTACACTGGAAATTCTGAAAGATTCCAGCAGCCAGTAGGTGTCAAAAATGCATTTGCCTTAGAAGGACTCATAGGTGTAACTTTGTAGGTTGCTAATCCATTCAGTGGCTGAAACACAAAGTTCTGAGGTGCAAAAGAACGTGTTCTGGGTCTCCCTGGAGCAGAATTGGTTTTGTCTTCTGCTGAGGTTTGTTCCTGTTGAAGTTCTGCTGATGCTGAATGTTTAGAATCAGCTGCAGAACTTTTCAGTGCTGGATCCAGTTGAGCATTTTTATTCACTTCATGTTCAGAAGGAATTACCTGTAAGAGCCCAAAGACACATCAAATCAATGAAGAGTTTACTGTAGGCATGGAATGAAGTATAACATGACTGTCTGCAGGAAGGGAAGAGTTTCAGGCAAGTACTTTTCTACAATAGCATATGGGTACAGAAGTCATGATTTACCATTGGGCGAAACTGGACAGGCTGGAGAGCTGGGTGGAG